TCTGTGTTCCCCATCTCAATCAGGCATCACAATTGACCTTTACCAAATTCACTGTAGCAGAAGTATCTTCTATACTTTCTTTCCCTTCATCCCCAAAGTCTGACTAGTCGAAAAGTCCACTTAGGTCCATACTCTCTCCCCTTCACAATGTTGCCATAGTAAGCTTCTCAAAGGGCAGAGCTTACTTTGCTGTCCTCAGTTTCAAAGCTCTCTATTTCCCCTCAGATAAACTAAACTTCTTTTCATGTTACAAACAGCTATTATTAACTTGGCCCAACCTCTCCAGACATTTCACTTACCACAACAACACACATCCCGAGCATCTGCACTGGAGATATTTCCTGACAAAAGCCCTGTTCCCTACATATTTGGGTCTCTGATTTCATTGTATTCCCTGAATAGGATACTCTTCCTTTTTCACTCATTCATAATCAGAAAGATAAACACCTACTGAATACCTTCTCTGTGTCAGGCAAAGGGATGAGCCAGGGGATTGAATGGTGAACAAAGTAGACATGGTTCGTGCACATATGGAATCTGCACTCCTTGGCTACCCACGCCACCTTCCTTCCAGACTCAGCTCTCTATCTCATACTCCCCATGCAACAAGTCTAGATGGTGCAAGCTCTGTTGGCTTCAAGAAGATTTGGCCTCTGCACGTGCCTTTGTTGTGGTATTTTTGTCATACTTTTTTTTTTAAGTCAATGTTCCTCACTAAACTCTGAGCTGCTTATCATAAGGAGCAGGTCTTTTCATTAGTAAACCTTGCTGTAATGCCTAGGACAGTGTTGGTTGTCAAAGCAACCTGAAAGGACTTAACCCAAGATTTAGGTGCTATGCCAGAAAACTGGGTTTCTAAAGATGACCAGAGAAAGTTACAAAGTGAAGTTTATTCTTTCTGTTTAGACTTTCCAATTTTCATACCAGTTTTAAAAGCCCATTGGAATATATTCTTCCCTAATTTACCTGGTATATGGTTAATTTTCTGTTTTAGATTACTTCTATTCCTAAGGATAATAATATTTTTATAAATATATATTCGATTCTCATTTTTAAAACCCTTATTGTACACTAAAGCTAATGGCTTAAAACGTATCTTTGTATTCGATTTCACTTCACATAGAAATTGCTCTTTCTTTGAAGATTTCTGTAAATAATGAGAGCACTTTCTTTTGCTTATTGAGTTGATGCTAATGCATTATAGCCTGAGGAAGGAACATATGCCCCATTCTACTATTTCTAATGCCATGATTACCTTAGGTCTATTTCTATGCAGGATTATTTTTCACTGGTCTTGAGATATATTGGTCACAATACAACCTAGTGTAGTATTTTTATATGGATTTATTCAGGGGAAATAAATTCTATGGGATAGTTTACAAGAGTCTCTTTCTTTCCTTTGATAACTGAAATGGCTGCACAACTTTTCCATCTGTATTTGACAGTAGCAACTCATGAATTCTGCATTGAATTCTTTAGTGGAAATGGGGATATTAATAACTAGACTGTAATTACATGAATAAGAGTTGCTCTAAATGCATAAGCTGGAAGAAATGAGGATGCTCCTAATGAAAACCAGGCTATCAGGCAAGCAAGATTTTAATAAAACAATGAAACACTATTCTGAGACTGGAAGTATATTTCTTTAAACTATACATATTAAATGTCATACCAAGGACCTAGTGAAAGGAGAAATAATGATGCTAATTTTCAAAGCACAAAATGTTTCTATCAGGATGTTGATTTCAGTCTATTTATGAAGGCTTATCAAGCCATTATACTGGGAGCTTCCAGTTCAAGATGACAGTGTAGGAAGAGGCTGAATTCACCTCCTTCCAGAAACACATCAAATTGACACCTACAGACAAAGCAACTCCCCCTGAAGAAGAACTGAGAGCTGACTGAACAGCTTCTTCACAACAAACAAGAGAGATACTACATAGAAACATGTAGGAGAGCCAGAGACACCACACTGTGGACACCCCACCCAACACACTGCCCTGCAACCCAGAGGGATCCTGGAAGGTCCCACACAGACTTGCCTGCTCTGGGGCACAGCAGAAAAAACAACAACAGTGGTTTAAAGGACATCTAGGCTATAGGAGAAGTAAATCAATTTATTAACCCTACAGCATCTGTCAAGTGGGAGGGGAGCTGCTGGAATTCTCTCTGGGTTTGGAGGCATGAGAGTGCTATTTGTGGCTCTCCCAATTCCCCTTGATCGCAAGTGCAGGAGTTTGATCCAGGTGCTCTAGTTTCAGGTCCATTCTACCACAGTGCCCTCAGGCCCCCAGAAGATCTACTGCTTATATCCAGGTCTCCCTGCAGTCTGCTCTAGCTCCAGGTTCCAGCTGGCCTGTCAAGGCTGCCTAGGCTACTTGTCCCCAGGACTCATCAGCTTCAACTCACCCAGGCTATTGCCAAACTCCAAGGTGTGGCTTGTTCCAGATCTCCTTATGGCTTGCTCTAGTTCTAGCTTGCAGCAAGAGCAGCTTACGTCCAGGACTCTCCTCAGATTCATACCTGCCTTAAGTATAGCTCCCGACCAGGTGCAGTTTGTCCCCAGGATTTCCTGCAGACCAAGCCACAGTCTGGCTTGCCCCTAATACTACCTGAAGCCTCAGCCTACTCTAGCTACAACTCCAATTGGCCTGCCAAGGTGTCCTATGCAGCTGCCCCCTGGATTTCCCTTGGCCCATGCCCATTTGAGCTTCAGTTCCAAGCCCAAGTGAAGTATACCCCCAATTTCCTTTAGTCCACAAGTGATCCAGGCGTACCTGGTCTGCCAAATACACCCAGTTTGTGAAGTCTACAAAATGGTAGGTCCTACACAAGGCCACTCTTTCAAGATTGAGAGAGGTTGCTGTTTTACCTAATTCATTGAAACAAACATAGACAGACAGCCTACATGAGTAGAGAAATATGTTCCAAATGAAAGACCAGGACAAAACCCCAGAAGAAGAACTAAATGAAACAGAAACAAAAATATCTATCTGATAAAGGGTTCAAAACACTGATTATAGGTATGTACAATGAACTTCAGAGAAAATAGATGAACTCAGCGAAAAGTTTAACAGCGATAGAAACCATAAAAAAAATAACCAGTCAGAAATGAAGAACACAATAACTGAAGTGGAAAATACACACTAGAGAGAACCAACAGCAGGTAAGTTGATACTGATGAGTCAGTGATCTGGAAGACAAGGGATTGGGAATCACCCAATCAGAACAGCAGAAAGAAAAAGGAGTGTTTTTTAAATGAGCATAATTTAAGGAACCTCTGGGACAACATCAAGTGTACCAACAATCGAATCACCGGGGTACCAGAAGGAGAAGAGAGAAAGAATGTGACAGAAAGCCTATTTGAATAAATAATGGCTGAAAACTTCCCCAACTTGGTGAGAGAAACAGACATCCAGGTTCAGGAAGCACGGAGTCCCAAACAGGATGAACCTTCAAAAGGCCATACCAAGAGACATCATAATTAAAATACCGAAAGTTAAATCAATAAGGATTTTTTTTTTACTTCAAATTTGGAAACAAACAGAAACACATAAACATAACCGGATATCAAATAGTGACAACCATATTAAAGAAAAATGGGATAAAAGATCCAAGTAACTTTTAGTTATAGTATTTTCACTACCTTCAGTCTGAAGATAAAAAGCTCAAAAGAATTGCAAAGAAAATTTAAATTTGACTTAATAGGTTAGTAAGTTTATTGTGAATAGTGGTGTGGGCATAGTAATTCTGAAGCAAGTTTATGTGTATTGTAAAACTGAGCAAAGGAGTATATGTATTGATCTTGTTGGGATCCAGGCTTCTCAGAGTGAGAGAAAGGAGTTATAAGTATAAAATTGTGAAAGGCAAGAATGATATGAAATGACTATTTTCACCAGTATGTCCACTGGAAGGACATGAGCAATGATACCTCAATGGTAATGAGCACACCTAGCTTCCAGATCTTGGATTCTAATATCACAACCTACTAAAAAGAACCAGGGGTCCTTGGACCATCTTGTGCACAACTCAGAATGACAAGCAGAGTAGCCAGCTTGAAGAAGCCCCTACTGACCAAATCTGGGACAATCTGAGATTTAAAATAAACTATGATTGTAATGGATTATAACCCACTGAATAAAATAAAAACCCATGGATCCATATTGACAGAAGTAAATAATAAATAATACAGAAGGAAAGACCCTTTTGGTAAAATGTTAACTAATAAATGCAGAAGGAATAACAGAGTTAAAAAATCATTATTTGGCAGTCATTATAGTATTTTGACTCAGGAATAGGATAGTCATATAACTTCAAATTATCTCCCCACAGGTTAGTTATTAATTACAGAGGGGAAAATTATAAACCTAGAAGACATGTCCAGGACTTGTTGATCAAAGTTAACATCACCAATATGGGAACAAGTAAAAATTGCCTGCCACCTGATAGAATCAATGAGAAGAACACAGTATTACTTTTGGAATATTCTTGCCACACAAGCATAACTAGCATGAAGTATCAGATAAACCCAAATTGTGAGACAATCTCTTCAAACTGTCAAACTGGAGAAGAACAAAGAAAGATAGATGAAGACTGGTCCTGATGAAGGAATGCTGGAGAGAAAGGACAACTAAAATGCAACAGGTGATTTCGGGTTGGATCCTGAACAGTTCTTACTACAGAGCACAAGCAGGACAACAGGTGACATCTGAATAAAGTCTTTGGGTTCAATAACAGTGTTTCATCAATGTTAATTTTCTGATGTTAACACACTTTCATGGTGGTTATGTAAGAGAATGCCCTTGATTTTAAGAAATAAACACTGAAGTATTTAGAGGTTAAGAAAGAGAAAACCATTACACTGTGTTTTGACTTAGGCAAGCAAACCAATTTATAGAGAAGGAAGCAAGTAAGAGTTTTAAAAAGTGTATACATGTCTAACTACAGCTCTAAAATAATTTCATGTATAATTATTTAGAAAAGAATCAAATTTAATGTACCTTTTCCAACTCCACATTGTTTGAAATATTCTCTGCATCATTGTTGTGTCTGAAAAATAGATTGACCCAGTTAATAATATTATTAAAATGTAATTTGGAAATTCTGAATCAAAATGTCAAATTTTTTTACCCTGAAACTGGTGTTGTTTTCTCTTTCTTCTCATTTGTTTCATGTCCATCAACACATTCTGCAAAATATTAAATAAAGAAAAATAATTTAAATGAAGGGTTATCTGTGTGTGTGTTATGTACGCATTACTAGAAATTAAAAATAAACAAATTCACCTGTAGTGACAATATTTATCTTAATAATGTATTTTATAAACATAAATATCCCCCAAGGTTTTTCACTGCATCAGAGCATTTTATCAGAGGCAGAAATAACTACAGTGAAAATGAGATGTTGTTTCCAAATAGAATGTAGGAATTAAAGATTCCCAATATTATGCAAGAAAATAATTTCAGTACAAAAGAGTAACCTGGAGGAGTACTGACAGACATGAGAGACAGTTCCATCAGTCTGGCTGCAGAATGGAAAGGGCATTACTTCTCTGTTGATAGAGACTGTAAATTCAATCATTAAGGTAAATATAATTCTCTTGTATAAACATTGGGAAATATAGAAAGAGGAAGGTTAAATTCACATCATGTGTGTACGGACAGTTCATTAAAAATATAAGCCAGAATTATTGAGTTTATGCCTATTGTCCACATGACTAGACCTCCCGCGGCCATATCTACATGTGATACCTTCGATTTCCAGACCATGATTGGTTGATCCACCGAAATAAGTCATCTGAGTAGCCTTGACCTGGGCTCCAGCACTGATGATCTGCTGTGCCACAGCCTCCACGATGGGCATTACCATGGCAGCAGTTGAGGTGTTGCTAAGCCACATTGATAAGAAGGCGGTACTACACATGAACCCCAATGTCAGCCTGAAATGAGAGAACTTTTAGTATGATCTTTGCTCGTAGCTTAACTAACACTGTTTTAACCATGAAGGATGCTGTTTATGAGTAGGGAATTTGTTTGTTTCAAAACATTGATGGTTAGGTTTTCTCTGAGACAATGCACTCTGAGGACAGTCATAGCAGTAGAAATCAGTGGCAGAGGTAAGAATGGAATTCTTATAAGATTTGTTTCCCAGGAAACTAAAAGTCTTTTCTCCCGAAATAGAATAACAACTAAACAAACAGATTGCAAGTTGCTAGATGGTATAATAACTTCTAATATTATGCCAATATTTGAATGGCCTTCACAGATGATACTTACCTTCAAATACTAATAAGATAAGGTGCAATCAACTTTTGAGTTTAGGATCCCTTATTCTTTCTTTTATCTTTTGGCCATATCTCTTTTTAATAGGATGTTGCCAAGAAGGCATAAGGGAAAAGAAAGAGATTAATTTGTATAAATTTGCCTTTTACTTGTTCACTACTTGGGTTTAATATGTGATGGGTAGAAAAAATAGTCTAAATCAGTGGCAAAAATGAAGTTTCAGAATTTTCTGTAGATTCTATTATCCATGCTCTTCTGAATCTAACATTCCTGCCAGTTGTTAAGAACTGGATATATTACATTGTCTTCTCTTATAAACAGAGTAGCTCCTTTCCCTTAATAATAATATACCTGAAACTATAGGGTTTTAAACCGTGTCTATAATCTTTCAAAAGAGACGCATTTCTATAGCACCCCAGGGAGATGGAACACCATTTCACTCTTAAAGAAGTGAAATACCCTTAGTACATACATGTTATAAAAAATTTTAAGTAAATATTTTTTCAAAATTTGTCTCATCTGAGTTATTTAATTTTTTGTATTTAACAAAACAAGTTGTTCCCTAAATAATAAACACAGATGTGGTTATGCCCTAGAATGAATTATACAACAGAATTCAATGTAATTTTCTTATTTTTCAAAGAAAGATGAGAAGGGAAGAATCACCTAAGGCTTTAAACCATAATTCCATTATGCAAATGATTTTGACACTGGAAAGTTTTTTTTAGCTTACATCTACATCCTTAATAGTTGGAATTAAAACTAAAATAGCCAATTAATTTAATGGAAAAAATTCATTTCAGTTGAGGAAATCAGTAAAATGAGTGATTTCATATTCTATAGATGAAATTTCTTAATTGATTATTTCACTTTGCAACAGTTCATTAAAAAAAAAAAAAGTTCACCTTGGAATTTTTCTGCACATATTTGTATTTTGTCTGTAATGTCTGCCTTTGGTTCCTAACATCCTCCCTGTGATTAAAGATGCTCTTGAACAAGTCTTGAATGTGTAATTAGACAAACAAGGTAGTATAAAATCTACTCTGAAGTCTGTCAATCTTGTATGCTGAGGTTCAAGGTTTCTCTCAGCTTTGACTCCTACGGTACATAAAAGGTAAAGAGTTGTGTGCAAACTCCCTGTAATAAGACAGACCTTCACTGACAGGAAAGTTGTTCTTTTTCTCCTACAACTCAGGTACACTTTATATCACTTCTACATTTTCAGAGAAAACCTAATCATAAATTATACTTCAATACAAATGATTGCCAGGATATACATTACTTTTGTGGTTATTTGCTCTGCAAAAAAATGGTCTGTTCAGAATGTAAATCTGGAACAGTAAAGGCAGTGCTTACCATGCTGGGTTCACACCCACAATCAGCACCATTTTCAGAGCAATCCTTTTATGCAAATTCCATTTTTCTATTGATGTTGCTAAACAGATGACGCCAATTAGTAGTAGGTGAAAATCTTTGAAATAAGAAGATGCCACCTGAAATTATAATTAAACTCATGATTATTTAGGTTGGTGGGGGGAAAATAGCATTATACAAAAGGGCATTATTACATTGCTCTTACCTTTGACTTTCACCTACATACTCTTTCTACTTTGTTGAGAGAAATGTATGTGTTTGTCTACAAATTTAAATATGTTCTATATCCTTACCCAGAAATAGTAGTGTTAAGAGAAGAAAAAAAAAATGCACCCAGGATTCTGTTTTTTTAAACAGATGATTAATATCAGACAAAGGCCTTCTATGCCTTAATTTTTCCATCTGTAAGCTGGGGTTGATTGGTTTATGCTCCTATCATAGAATGTCAATGACTGTAATTTGTAAAGTCCTGAATCAAACTTTCAACTCACCAATATCTTCATTATCATTTGTATTTTAAATGGTTTACCTTTAAAATTATTTATTATAAAATAAATAGCCTTGCCCTGGCCGGTTTGGCTCAGCGGTTAGAGCGTCGACTTGGGGTCCTGAGAGACCCGGGTTCGGTTCCCGCTAAGGGCGCGTACCTCGGTTGCAGTTTGTCCCCGGCCCTGATCGGTCATGCGGGTGGCAGCCACTCGATGTGTTCCTTTCACATCGATGTTTCTCTCTCTCTCTCTCTGTTCCTCTCTCTCCCTCCCACTCTACCTGAACAAAAAAATGGGAAAATGTCCTCGGGTGAGGATTAAAAAAAATAATAAAATAAAATAAATAGCCTTGAATGGGGTCAACATTTTAAGCCATTTTTAGCTAACACCATTCAGATTTAGCAAAATGTACAGACAATTTGGGCAACAATTTTCAGCAGTATTTACCAAAGAAGGCTCTAAAGTATGTCAGGTACATAATATTTTTCTTTAAAATATGATTTTGTGGTCAAATAAGTTTAGAAACCAGAATTTTGAAACACTAGAATATTTTTTCCTGTAGGCCTCCTCAAAACCTTTAAATACTAACGTATACTGTCACCCTTAAAAAGTGGGATTCCATACATAACATATTTTTCAAACATCTAACCAGAGAAATCTTATTTTTAAATTTTTAGGTGGAGTACCTCATGGGACTGATATTCAAGAAACTGACTTTTGGAAATTTTTAGCTAAACTAAATCACAAGGCTTTGTGAAAAGAAAAGGATTATAAGAGGAATTACCCTTTTGAAAATCAAATAATATTTAGTAAAGAATGGAAGTGTTGGCCCTGGCCAGTTTGGCTCAGCAGTTAGAGCGTCGGCCTGTGGTTCAGAGAGACCCAGGTTTGGTTCCCGCTAAGGGCATGTACCTCGGTTGCAGTTTGTCCCCGGCCCTGGTTGGGTTGTGCGGGTGGCAACCACTCGATGTGTCCCTTTCACATCAATGTTTCTCTCTCTCTCTCTTCCTCTCTCCCTCCCACTCTATCTGATCAAAAAACAAAAAAATGTCCTCAGGTAAGGATTAAAAAAAAAAGAATAGAAGTGTTGGAACAAAACTATTCTAATATTCTGAAACCTTATAGAAATAGGACAATCACTTATCATGATAATTTTGCTATTTTAAACTGCATCTGCATTTTACATATAGCTTACTAAGCTTAGCCTGGTTTAAAATAAAAGTAAAGCCTGGCCAGTGTGGCTCATTGGTTCAGTGTCGACCCATGCACCAAGAGGTCACCAGTTAGATTCCTGGTCAGGGCACATGCCTAGGTTGTGGGTTGGATCCAAAGTGGGGCACATGCAGGAAGTGGCCAATCACTGTTCTCTCTGATCCATGTTTCCATCTCTCTCTCTCTCTCCTTTCCTCTCTCTCTAAAAAATCAATAATGGGAAAAAATTTTTTTTTTAAAGTAAAAATTGAAAGTTAACCTTGCATAGAAGTGGACAAGTAGACATCTTCATGTTTTACAAAAAGTTAATTTGAACTTATATGCATATATGCATAACCAATGGACACAGACAACAGTACAGTGAAGGGGGAAGGGGCAGGAGAGGGGAGGAGAAAGTCAATAGGGGGAAAAGGAGGAACATCTATAATAAAAATATTAATGAATTAAGTATTTAAAAAAAGATATATAGTGGCTGAATGGATAACAAAATTAGACCCTTACATATGCTCAGTACAAGAGATTCACTTTAGATTGAAAGATACACATAGACTGAAAGTAAAGGGATAGAAAAGATATTTCATGAACATGGAAACAAACAAAAAGAGCTGGGGCAGCAATACTTCTATCAGACAAAATAGACTTCCAAAGCTATAACAAGAAACAATGAAAAACCCAGCAATTTTACTTCTGAGTGTTTTTCTAACTAACCCCAAACACTAAATTAAAAAAAAACATATACATTCATATGTTCATTGCAGCATTATTTACAATAGACAAGATGTGGAAACATCCTAAGTGTCCATCATTAGATAAATGGATAAAGAAGGGGTGCATATATACAATGGACTATGACTCAGCAATTAAAAACAAAAAAAGAATAAATTCTTGCCATGTGCAATAACATGGATGGACCTGGAAGGTACTGTGCTGAGTGAAATAAGTCATCAGAGAAAGACAAATGCCATATGATTTAACTTATACGTAGAATCTAAAAATCAAAATAAGCAAGCAAGCAGACCAGAAACAGACTCATAGACACAGAGAACGTTTTGATGGTTGCCAGGTGGGAAGGGGGCTTAGGGGATGGGTGAAAAAGGTGAAGAGATTAAGAAGTACAAATTGGTAGTTACAGAATAGTCGTAGGGATATAAATCACAACATAGGGAGTATAGTGAATAATATTGTGATAATTATATAGTGCCAGATGGGTACTAGATTTATTAGGGTGATCACTTTGTAAGTTATGCAAATTTCTAATCATTGGGTCATACACCTGAAACTAATATCATATTGTACATCAATTGTAATTAAAAAATAAAAAATTATTTTAAAAAAGTTAATTTGTCATGCTTTTCAAAGTTTATATTTATCTCTACATTTTGTTGTAATTGCATAATAGGAAGTAAATATATAAATTTTCTTATTATTTCATTTATTAATTACTCTAACATTGAATAAGCATCTACCATGCACCAAAACTGTTATATGAGCAGAGGGCAGGTATAAATGCCTGACAGTTTTTCTTCTTTCTACCTCTTGTATGTTCAAATAGCAAACTTTTCTAAATACTGTAGATCCTACTGTTTTACTTTATTGTAGAGCCCTGTTTATTTTCTTCTTAGCACATCACATTGTATAAATACTGTTTGTTTACCTGTGTGTTACATGTCTTCTCTATTATATTATACAATCTGTTTTGCTATCCATTGCATATTTGGCACCTAGTACAGTCCTGCTACAAAGAAAGAGCTCAGTAAATAGTATTGGATAAATGAGAGAGGGAGGAAGGGAATCAATAAATAAGCTATGGTCACTGAGCTCCTGAGTCCCAATTATCTACACTCTGTTCCCCAAATTCTATCCTCCTAACCCTCAATCCTAAATCTCAGTATAACTATTCTTTCAATTTATTAATCTCCTAGTACTTCCAGATTTATGAACCACTTTTTTTTTTTCTCCCTGATTCTATCTATCCCTGCCTCTCTGAATTTTTCTTCTTGGCCTTCTTAGAAAATTATTTTTCTTCTGCCCTTTTCTTAAACTTTGGTATTCTATTTTGTCTGCAGTTTTACACACCCAGTGGTTGAAACTTATGATTTAAATTTCTATGTGAATAAAATAATGTCTGGCACATATTAGGCACTCAATACATATTTGTTGAATGAGTGCAGCTGTAAAAAAGAAGGATCTCTTATCCTTTGAGACATCATGGAGGAACCTGGAGAGTATTATGCTAAGCAAAATAAGCCAGTCAGGGAAAAACAAGTATCACATGATCTCACTTATATGTGGAATCTAATGAACAAAATAAACTGATGAACAAAATAGATCCAGAGACATGGAAGCAGGGAACAGACTGACAAACCTGAGGGAAAGGGTGGGGAGTCAGAAAGAGATAAACCTCTGCCCTTATTGCTTCTGTAGTTTTACTCATTGAATTAAGCCCAACCAACTCTATCTCAACAATACTGTATATTAAATGAGTTGACAAATGCACAGAGGAACACATAAAAGCAAGTCATTATTAGTAACTGATTAAACACAGAAAGAAGTCTAGGACTATGAGACATGCTTTTTATAATCTCTTTAGATTATACCAGCAGTTGACAGAGTTTGTCTATAAAGAATTAGATAGTAAATATTTTAGACTTTGTGAGCCTTATGATTTCTGTAACAACTACACAAAGAAGGCTGAGTAGTAAAAGTAGTAAAAAAAAAAAGTAGTCTTTGTAGTAAAAAAGTAGCCAAAGGTAATATATAAATGAATGACCATGGCTGTGTGTGTTTTCAATAAAACTTCATTTTGAAAATTGGGATACAGGCCAGATTTGTCCCTCAACTCGTGGTTTGTCAATCCCATAATGGAATATGTAAACAAATTATGACTTGCAGTCTAATTGTCTAAATGAAATTAGTTGTTCAACATAAGAAGGAATTTTTTTCATTCTGTTTTCCATTATATTACCCATTCTTTGTTTTTCATCAGAGTTAGTATATTTGAAGAATAGCATTAGCCACAGGTAGATGTATGTGTTTATAGTCTACTTGTACAGGAGGTAATAAGAGAGAGTTCTACTGGTTTATAAATATAACTATTTATAACTATATATAATATACTGATAAATATAACTATTTCTGAGGCAAAATTGGTATGTCAAATCAAATTCCTAATAAAATTTGAAATTCTTTCGCAACATCAAGATAGTTATATTTGTTTCTAATGGGATTTCATCAAGAAATGTGGGCTTTTGTGATCAGAGCGTCTGGGTTCTCTCTTAGCTATGTAATTTATACTAGTTCAGCAACCTTTCTATAAGCCAATATACTTACCCATGAAAGTAAAATAATACTTCACAAGTTTGTGAATTAAATGAGATTTTTTGGGGGGGGGTACTTTGTCAGTTCTAATGTGTATGACT